TTCGCAATTCGGCTTTGCTGCAATGGAAGTATTTTAATAAACCTTTTTGAATTGAATTGAATTCTGTAGAGGCCCGTCGTCTCCAAAGTATTAAAAGCAATATATTGCTACATAATCCTTCGATTCATGATAACGCTCTATATATTCGTCGCTGTTTTCACGAAGTGACGGTAGTGAAAAAAAATTGCATTCACTTTGCGTTACGATTTTCCTCCCTACCGTCACTTCGTGAAAACAAGGACGATATCATGACACGGCTTAAATTTTTACTCTCTTGATAACATGATGGAGGTACAAACATAAGAAAATTATCAATTCGATACGGTTTTCATAACGATTCTAATCATTGGCAATAAACCTGCTGGTAAAACAAAACTATTAGAAGAAGTGTACCTCATTAATCGGGCAAATAAATCAATATACTGGTAACAATGGGCCATTTTCAATCATCGTTAATCTGTTTAGCAATGTTTGTATTCAAAAGGTGACGTAACTAAAGGGGGTTGGGCGGGAGGGCATGTCCCTACTCAGTGTGAGAGAAAATTAGAAGTAAGAAAAGGTGAGACAAAAGAAATGGCAAAAGGAGACGGGGAAACGGGCGATACAAGAAGACGACTGGAGCATCTTCAAAACCCTTCTCCTTTTCAATCAATTTGCAATTATTATTCTAAATACGAATGGTGCCCCCTCCCCCATCGTTCCAATGTCCCTTCAAAAGCTGGACTTGCCTTACCCCACTGTATTTGGTACATTTCTCTTGGATTATGTTTCATTTTACAAATGCAGGATACCATGCATTTGAAGTTTCTATTCAGACATACAACTCTATTCCAGTCATTGGCGAGGATTTCACAATGGTCTGTACCTTCACACCGAAAAGCCGATATCGGCGGCTTATTTGGACAAAGGGTAATGACATCGTGGTTGCCTCTCACTCGTGTGTGACGTCTTCGGCTTGTACATGGGTTACCGTTCTAAACCGATCCAAGTTTAGCTTAATGGCAGACACTACCAGCGGAAATTTAACATTAAAAACACTTGACAGGAATGATACCGACAACTACAAGTGCAGAGTAAGCAGTACCTTTGGGGAAAAGAAGACAGGATCAACTAGCTTGCAAATAACACCGATGACACCAGGTACTATTCATTATATTTAATTGACACAGCAAAAGTCAGGGATAACATGAAACTAATTCAAGATTTATGAGTGTACTGTTCATCAAAATTTATATGAAACCCCTAGTTTTATGGGTCAGATTATATGAATACGACTATGAGAAGCACTAACGCAACTGGAATAATCATCTCTTTACATCTTATTTAATGGGCAAGTGATTGAGCCTGAATCCGATGACCGGGGTAATAACCTGTGCTGCGCCAAGAAACAGTATTAGGCGCATTGATAATATGAGCTATTATTGTTATAATTAGTATATATGCTTTTTATATGTTTTTGTTACGAAGTGTCCTGATGATACCGTCAAAATTACACTTTGTGAACAAATGAGTGTTGGCTAGTTGCTATCGTACGACGACAATTGTTTTATATTCGTCAAAAACTTGAACGGCTTGTAATATCTTAAACAATGAGTCAAAACATTGATTTTAAAGGAAGTATGTGAATGATACGTGACTCAAATGCCTAATGTTGAAGTCGAAATATTAAAAAGGCTGTCTTAGAGTAATTAGGGAATCCATGAAAGGAAGTTCCCCACTATTAGAGTGGAGAATTACAGTTGGAGGCAATCATAATTCAATGTGACTATTCCCTCTTGTGTCCCTAGTTCGGCCATATCTGTTGAGGATATCTGGTGATAGTTTGAGCCGTTATTACCACAACAACACCAATATAACGGTAACTGCTGGTGAGCCGTATGACATCACATGTGCAGCTTATGGGGCAAGACCTCCTGCAGTACTGAAATGGCGTATTGCAGATGGTGTAGCAGTTGTTCTTCAAGATCAGGCTAATGTCGTACGAAGCTACAGCTATATCTCTCTAAGGACTGCCACAATCACACCCTCTAGGAATGATCAAGGAAAAAATCTCGGCTGCGTAGCATCACATCCAAAAATGCAAAATAATCTTCAACACTCAGTTCACCTGAATGTTCATGGTAGGTAAACTTGTTAAGTATGGAGCATGTCTTATTTGTAGTTTTGTGGTAACGATGTCATAACAGGTGAATTTAGTTTTACTCTTGTTGTAATTCTCTACTCAAATCCAACAGTTCTAGCGGTTTCTTGGCCGAAATTTCAATGAATATTTACAAATGCTGATTCACGATATTCACATTTTCTATACGAGTATTTTCTTTCCATCCATATTTACAAACGTATCAAATATATATAAATATATATATATCCCCCTTTAAACACTATCTAGCGTTTATTAAATGATTTTGTTTTTCTTCTCAATTTCTCTTTATTAAGTTATGCCCTCTAGCCTGTTGCTTTTTCTATCTGGGGAAAGCGAGGAAAATGGACAAGGGTCAACTACCATTGACGTTAACGAAGATTCATTGACTTCAATCACTTGTAAAAGTATAGGATCTCTACCAGCAGCTGAGCTATCATGGAGACTTGGTGACAACCAAAGTCTGCCCAGTAACATAAGTCATTCGAATTATCGCAGTGCTGTAGATCAAAGTTTGTTCGACACCGAAAGTACGAACAAGATACGCCCAGAAAGGAAACACCACGGGATGTACCTTTGGTGCTATGCATCTCTGGGAGATTTTCTTGATCTACGGGTAGTTAAACTGATGGTTTGTGGTGAGTTCAGGTTCTTCAATATACCGGTATACCATTTGCATTGAACTTGATCGGACATGTTTTGTACTGAAACTCCCTGTCATCACTTTTATTTAAAAGTAATAATAATAATAATTATCCTTGCTTATATGCACCTAACACTTACTTTATCAGAAGTCTATAAGCGCTCTACAATAATGCAGCATAATTACCCTGGCCTCAGTAGTGCAGCTGTTACGCGCGCTGCGTTTCAAGGAATACATTTCTACCAGGTACCCATTTACTTCACCTGGGTGGAGTGTGGCGAATGTAGATCAATTTCTTGCCAAAGGACATTAGTGCGGCGGCGGGACCTTGTGATCGACAGTGTGGCGACGTATCCACTTGACCACAACACCTCTAAAAAGACGTGACCTTTCCATTTATTAATATTTACGTGATTATATCGGAATTATCATATTTCTTAATAATTCGGCTTCTCCTGGGACTGGGAGGGGAAGAAAATGTTTGTCACCATGACCCTCGTGGCTTTTCTTCACGCTGTATAACTTAATATTCATATCAATTCCTTCGCGCTCCTTTTGGGAGATCAACCGACCCGCGCGCATTTTATATTACATGACATATTGTAAAATTCTCGACATCTTTTTACACGTTTATTTACCATTAAAAATCGGAATTGAGTATAATATCCTCAATCGAGATATGAGAAGAAGGAAACATTTCCTTTACATTCCATGTAAAACCATGCCCTTACTTGAAAAAAAAACCTCCGTCATTTTGACGTTAAACTTTACAATCCATTTAACTTTTTTTACTTTCTCATGCATAATGTCCATTGATCGGTCGCACTGTGCTCGATTGCCTTTTAATATACCAATCTTTAACTTTGCAGCAACGCGTTTTGCGTCAAATTTGTAAATCCTCAATCCCAGACAATGACATATGATACATAAGCTTTTCATACATATACAGTTCATTTTGATTGATTCATTTTTAGCCCCGTCAATTTTCATGTCAAATTATGCTTCATGTCCCATTTTAGAAGCCCGACCCAGGGTTTTGTGCCAGCTAGCCGTGTATGCATACATGTACGTAATGCTATGCATACACATATAACTGAACATGCATAAGTACAGTACATGTACACACGCAGCGCAGCGCGTACGAGCGCGCTGCACATTTCATTGGGTCAGTACCATTATGAAAATAGGGGAACGATGAGTGTGATGGGTTTAGTGCCGTAACAATAAACTTGCGCATTGCACGCGTACGTATAATTAGAGCAATTTATGCACCCCCAAGAAATAATGAATACGGCCCGACCTCTCTACACACAGAACTGCACAGATACCGCACAGTCCGGTCAAGGCGGTACGCGTAGCGTTAAACTGCCAAATTTACAGAAATTGTGAGGAGCGCTTTTGCTATGAAAGGAATTGATATATATTTAAGAGATTATATATTTAACCAAATGACAATTTGAGCCTCAAGGTTTCATCCATAACCATATATAATTCAATTCTGTGTAAAGGCCCACCGGAAGATGTTATAATTACCAAACCAGAGGACCTACACAACGGTATAGAAACCAACGTAAGCTGCAGTGCTGGCAAAGGATACCCTGCTCCGCTCATCCATTGGTACATCGGATCTAGAAATGTTACAAATGATTCGTCTCTAGAGTCTTCAATGAATGGAATTCATCGGTATGATGGTGAAAGCACCCTTACCCTCATACCAAAGAGGTTTGACCATGGGAAGCCTATTCTCTGTCAGGCTGTTTATCCCACAAGAACCTCCATGCGGTCAATGAATGATAGCATGGTCATGAACGTATCATGTGAGTATTAAGTTCTAAGTGAAAGAAATTGGTAAGGAAATTGTATTATCGCGTAGGATATTGGTCTGTATACGTGTTTATCAACTATCCTAAAGTGTTTTTTTTTCAAGTCTGTTGTTTTCCTTTTACTTCAACACACTTTTATTTCTACGTTTTCCTATCTGACATCAGAATGTATATGGATAACGATCAGTCAAAGTAATAGGCTATAATGTCAATAATTCTCTTTTTTCCTGTAAACATTGGTTAGTGTTATTTAGTCCCAAGCCAATAACTTTGATTTAATTCCCTGGTCCAATCCCCACCCTTATCTCTCGTTCTAGTTTTTCTATCACCTCATTTCAAATCTGATTTTTCAATATTTGTCTTCAATCTAGATGGCCCAGTTGTGTTCGTTTCTTCCCGCCGGCTTACATCAAATAAAGAACGTACTGGGTTTGTGTTGACATGTACCTCAGACGCCAATCCTCGTGCTTTTATCTTCAATTGGTTCTGTAAAAATACATTACTTTCGGACGGCATCCGTAATTTATCACTCTCCAAGACTATACCCGGAGGTGAAACGCTGACCTCTAGCGAAGTGGCGCTTCGAAACTCCCTGTCCGAAGATCAGTGCGAATACAAATGCTCTGCTGTTTCAAGATATGGTTCCGGTAGTGCAGTATTTAACTCAACAGTTTCCCGTAAGTTGAAATGTGTTTCCATTATATATCAAGGTTCATTTATGTCTTGTCCATGTGATTCTCTTTCTTTTTCATTATCTGAATTGGTGCTTGTTTCCAAATAAAAAATATATAATCTCGTTTTCATGAATTCTTCTTCTATTTATCAAAATGAGTAATTAACACCAAATTATGGCACTGAATGAACAGTCTCTACCGGTTTTACCGAACTTCTCTTTTACCACTGATTAACCCTGAAATGCAGTTATCCCCCATCCAATATCTTGGCTCATCGTCGACCAAGACCAAACGACATCTTCAGCTCTCTTCGTTGTCTGTCAACCTGGATGCAGCAACAGGTTACCTAACACTTGAATATGATTTAACAAACTGTCGACACACATGATTAAGATCAAATTCAAGGAATTCAAATCGGTGAGTCCATTATTCACCTTCCATCGTTCACGTTTAGGTATTAACATCTTTGGCATATCCACAAGTTAGTTTGCAGATAAAGAAGTGTGTATTTAGTGTTAATCATGGAGACTATGTTGTCTAGGACACTTCATATGCCATTCACTGTAGCCCATTCTGGCACAGCCCGAGACTGGAAGAGTTCGCTAACCACGAGGCTTTTTGAAAGTGTTTTAAAGTTGTATAATATGAGTACGCCATTTGGCTTTAGGAGCCGGGGAAAGGGTAAAATGTATTTGTTCGAGATTTACACATATGAGCAATTATAAAACTGCCTTCAAATTGTATATATATTTATTTACACTAAATACTTTCTAACCTATGACTGATTATTTTTAAATTGTACAATCGCCTGAAGCATAATTTGCGTTTAGGTAGCATATTCAAGAAAAGCCTATACAAAAGAAATATAAAACACATACCTTTATCTGGAAGTTTATAGCTCAACTATTAAGAAGTAAGCAGAAAATAAAGGATAATATCAAACCTTCCGTAAATAGCGAGCGCTAAACTCTTTGTTGGACTTACGGTTGGACTTGAGTTCGCCCTATTATATATGCCAGCGCGTACACCTGGCACTGTGTAAAGTAGTTTATTCAACAAGATTTGTTGATGTTCACTTGGAATGTATTTAAAATGCAGTATCTTTTTGTAGGAGAAATATTAACTGCAGCATATTAACTAGCACCCCTTATATCTTAAAACTATTTGTTGTTAATTGGTACACTTTTTGCTTACAGCCGATAGTCCAAAATGAAATATTTGTGATTACTGGGAAAAAAAATATTTCTAAGAAACCAAAACGTCCTATTCCTTTTTTTTTTCTTTTTTTTTTTTTAGAATAGAACGTATTTATGTCCAAACGGGAAGAAATAATACACATATTCCCTAAATACTTCTCCCGTCGTGAAAACACAACAGTTTATATAACTCCCCGTCATTCCTCTTCCTATATCTATATATAACTATTGTTTGAAACTGAATGGCTTTAGCTATCGTTAAAAGTACAATAATAATAGTCAATGGTTGCCTATAATAACAACTAAGGTAATACTTCCAAAAGAGCCAATTGCTGTAAGTTTCCCAAACTCCCCTTGTATTTGAAAATGGCAGCGCACTTATGCACTTCAGTGAGATAGATTCCTTTCACTTTCGAAGCGCAAGAAAGAAGTGGATGAGCATATCATCAACTTGTCTTTGTGTCCACCCATTCAGTCATTGGAAATCGTTATTGCACATCGCTTATTGTCTAATTATCCATGTATTATGTTAGGTTGCAGGAGGGTTTCTGCAACGCACCTCCTAAGTTGAACTATTCAAGGAAATGAGACGTAATAACAACATGGATGAACGTTTTCGATTATTTCTCTTTCTCACCTTCCTCGTTTCTAACACAATTGAGGTTAGCGTGTCTACTAGTATTCAGAACTTAGATATTCTCCCAGTCGTTGGTGAGAATATAACACTTGCCTGCACCGTCACTACTCCATCGACATATCGCCAACTGTCTTGGATGGGCAGGAATAACAAAATCCTAGCTACATGTCAAGAAACGGGATGCAGAAACGAGCAAAATGGTACAGATATGTTCAAGTACAGTTTGAGGGCAGATTCTTCCAGCGGAAATCTAACTATTAAGAATTTAACAGTGGATGACAGCGGCAGATATCGATGCCTAGTTTTCACATCTTCTTATTCAGTTGCAAGTGGAGTTGTATTGAAAGTACTGTTATCAGGTAATGTATTCTAACATTATTCTGAATTTGTTGTCATAATATGTGTGATGTATGCGAAATTACAATATAAATGATTTATTACACATTCGAAATCAATACAACATTCGAACTTTTGAATAAAACAGTCATGTCAGATGTATCGAGTTCAATTTGTGACTGAGAATAATCCAAATCCTCGTTTTTTAGAATGTTAACAACAGTCCTAGAACTAGGTCGACACCCAAGTTTACAAAAATATTTTCCAGTTGTAAATTTGTAAATATATATATATATATATAAATATATATCTAAGCAAGTTTAGTAAAACTGCAATTTCTGACAGTGCTCAACTGTAGGAAAAAATGTAGATATAGTAGTTGGAAGGTTAAACTTTATTGGTACGCGTTATACGGACTGGTGAAACAGTCTGTATAACTCGGACCAATAAAGTTTAACCTTCCAACTCATATATATATATATATATATATATACATATGTATATATATACGTGTACAATTTGCTTAATTTCCAGCCAGACCTAGATTGATATCCATCATTGACGATAAGCATGAGGATGGATACAAGAATGGAGCATCAGTGAGTATCACATCTGGGCGAACCCACAATCTAATATGTTCGGTCCAAGACGCTAGACCACCTGCAGAACTGGAATGGCACGTTCCTAAAGAAGTACAGATTCAGCGAAACCATCAGTATAACACTGTTCATGGTGACGCTTACACCTCTGAAACAGTTGTATTTGTAACTCCGTCCAGGGACGACGATGGAAAGATTGTCCGTTGTGTGGCCTCGCATCGGGAGCTGGAGAATGGGCTTCAATCGTTCATTCGTCTAGATGTCCAAGGTGAATATCCATCATTGTTCGGTGGTGTATAAATATGCGTCTTGATATGAGCATTGTCTGAATTGATGAAATACTCAACATCTCCTCAAATGTTTCCCACTCTTCTGTATTCTCTTCAGGTAGGAAATAATAAGAACGTCTTTTGATTCCATGATCCCTTCACCGCTAATAGTTCGACTCTTTATACAAAAGTAACTGACTCTGTATGAACATTTTTGATTTTGCCTTTCTATATTCACTCAGTACCACCAAGTGACCTTCAGCTTACCGCTTATAGATCCATAACTACCAATACAACAGAGACAAGAAGTGTCAATGTCTTTGAATACTCGATAACATCATTCACATGCAAGAGTGTAGGATCTCGCCCTACAGCTCTTATATCATGGAACATTGGTTCTGACGACGACCTGGGTAGCACGACCACTACGTCTACCACGAATGAGGCCGACCAAGGTTTACGTGACACACAGTCTACTCTACAGTTGATTCCAAAGAGGAAACATCACAATAAACTTCTCCGATGTGTGGCATATGCTGGTATGAACCAACGTCAAACAGAAGTGAGGCTAATTGTCTATGGTGAGTATTCGTAAGTTGTATTAACTATACCTCATCTTCTCTAATTCAAACAGAAGACCGAACAGCGAATCATTTGGACATTGATGTATATATGATGTAAAACTTTATGTTTTGAATATTAAACTGGGTATACTCATACCATGCTTGTCTATTCTGCATCAGCACATTTTAAAGAAGTAACACATTTAGAAATTCTGTAATGACATACCTTTGGGAGAGCAAATCCCTATATATCAACATATTTGTTGTTGTTTTAAGTGTCAAAATATAGGTTATTTATACTTTTGATACATAGGGCGCCGTTGACTTTAATATCGGAAGGCATTGTTTATAAAATCGCTATGTATGTGATGTGTAAGTCACTGGGGCTTAATCTAAAAGAAAATGATGTAAGAAATACATCTTGATCTTCAAGGACCACCAGATTCTCCCTACCTTAATGGAACAGAAGGATTGCAGGCTGGAGTGTCGTCAAATGTGATCTGCACATCGAACAACGGCTACCCAGCACCAACTTTTCGATGGTACCTTGGATCAAAGAACGTCACCAAAGATTCTAAAACACAGTTTTCGAGGAATCGAACTCTTCTACGGGATGCAAGTAGTGTTTTTAATTTCACACCCACAGTAGACGAACATGGGAAACTCCTTGTTTGTCTAACTTTCCAACTAAACGCTGCATCCATGGAGGCTTGGAGTGTTAGTGAGGTTCTTCATGTTTTGTGTAAGTACAGTTTAAGTAATCCTTATCAATTCATCATTTAGATCTCATAAAGAGGCAGGTACATTACGTCGCCTCACCTCTACAAAAGGACATTATCATCAATGTAATTACTCGGCGTTCGTGCCATTTATGCAGTAAATCGGCGATTCTATTAACGTTTACATGTACTGTAATGATATATTAAACAGACAAAGGTCGAATGCAACATTAACTGCATTTATTTAACATTTATTCTTTCACCTGTTGCTAAAACAATTTGTCCAATAAGAACTTTTCCAAACTCTTTAGTTCTTGATTTCAATATCATGTTTGGTTCAGATTAATGTCAACTGATACTAAAAGCACATGGAATTAAAAAAAAAATTGTTTTTAGCCTCGCTTTATTGTTATCCATTAGTTGGTTAATTCTTCCTAAATGCAAACAGATTCTCCTGTCATTGTGGACTACTCTGTTCGTCGGGTTTCCAGTGGTCAAAAGAGCGTTGCTGCTGTTCTTACATGCACATCAGATAGCAGACCCCTAGCCTCAATAACATGGTTCTTGAATGGCAAGGAACTCATCAACGACACCCGCCATCACATTCGCCACAGTCATTCACAAGAAGATACCTTGAGGTCGAGTATTCTGATTGTTTATAATATGTCGGCAGAAGATGATGGCAACTATACATGTTTGGCTGAGACAAGGCTAGGGAACAACAGCGCCACTATAACTTTTTTATATTCTGGTAAATCTTTCACTATCATACCAATGTGCATTTATGTAAAGGATCATGTCATATTCTTAAAATGACATATTGTCTAGTACAGTACTGTTTCAGTGATAATCCCAGATGACAAATGAGAAAAGTATGATAATGTTACGATAATATAATTTAGGTAATGAGATGATTACCCACTTACAGAAAGTATCTAGCAATTTTCATGAATTTACTCGTTACGCTAGATTAATGTGTTGACTTTGAGCATCGGGTGATGGTTTAAGGGATAATGACATGTTCAACAATGATCTGGTGAAAATTAAATTGAGTTTCATCTCGCCAAGGATACAGGGCTGAAATTTAGAGTTTGGTTTAGGGCATGTAACTTACGAACGCCAGTACTGCAGTACCATATGATACAAACATTGATTTGGTTGGTTGGATGCTTTCTGATTTTTGGTATATTGAAGATGTATGTTAAAGAGATTATTCCTTGGAACATGAAATTTTCACCATCTTTTTTCCAGGAAGTCCAGATCCACCTTACTGGTTTATCGTCTATCAAAACCAGACGACATCAGCTACTCTCTTCGTTGCTTGGCAACCTGGAATCCCTGATGGGTTTCAGCAACATATCACTCTGGTGTATATAATGAGGGATCTGGTATTATTTCTTCTTTGACAGGAGCACACAATATTACAGATGTGTGAGAAACAGTAAAAGATTCACGTTGTTCTCCAAATACTATTCCTTATCTTTATCTTATAAACTACCTGTACAAATGCTCGTAACGTTTGTTTTTTGAGGTAATGACTGCAGATATTTCCCTGAATTCTGATAATTATTTGTTCATGTTTGTTATGATAGAATGTGTTTTTCTAGCAAACATACTGTATACGTGCTTTGTGTGCGTATGTGTTTTTGTTATGAACGCATGAAAACGACTTGAGAATATTAACCCAGGTTTGAAACGAGTCCTTCCATTTTGATGTAACCTATGTGTTTTGGTGTTATGAATCTATACATGCTCAACGTTAACATAATTATATAAAGTCCTATGTATACACTCTTTGTTTTATGCATATTCATGAATTCACTGTAATAAAAGAAATAATCTGCTGTGCTTTTAATACAGTGAGCGATCATCGTTCACTTTGATTTGTTCCTCATGTATAAATAAGTAAAATTATATTTTGAGACCATGAACTGTATTACATCTAGCTCAATATAAAACTGCTGGCCACTGTTGAAATATGATTCCTCAGTGTTGTAATACTATACATTTTATATAGCAAAGAGCCTTAGCAGCTCCTCCCCCAAGAAAGACAAGTTTTATAGCGTACGATATTATCATGATAGATTTTGTTAAGACACTGGCTATGCAAAAAAAAAACATAATTATGCGTATAAATAAAGCTAACATACTTTTAGATTGTGAATATTTAAAAACGTTATAAAGTCGTTTTAATTAGAATGAAATGGCTTTTCCCCAATTCTAGTACTGATACTCATATTTCTTTTTGTCTTCACTAAAGTAATTATGTCGCTAGGTCACTGTTTTACTTCTCCTTTTTCTTTTGAGATTAAAATATTAGTTAATCTTGTTCAAAGTTTGAGAGATATTGTTTTCTTTTGAGGATACAGGCAATTGATTAATTAATTACATATTAGATGTTATCCATATAATGTCGTTATACCTGGACAATTCAAAAATGATTTATGTTAATATGTGTAGGCATGTAATACAATTGTGTATTTAGCGATAACTTTACGGCGATGAATGGGGCAGTTTTAGTGACACGTGTTTACACTATTCAAATTAATTTTGTTATGATTTATGTTTTTAATGTCAATTGAGCATTGTCGCTTGAAATGATCATTTTTAAAAAATGAAAATGTCTCGAGGACAAATCATGAATTTGTTTTTGTTTCATATCGTAAAGAACAATAAATATGTAGTCATAGTTTATTAAATTAATTATTGGAAAATAGCTGTATGCCTATATATTGGTAAATAACCTAATGGAAACAGCTCGCTCTAAAGGAAATAGCACATTCAATCATTTGTATGTGGGCATGGTGATTAAATCATTAAGAATGTTCTGTATTTATAAGTCTATTCATGGTATAACCATAACATTAACCTTGACAAGCAGTCATTCCTGAGTTATTCACATCTTACAAACTAATTAACACTAAATAATTGACAGTAGCGTGGTGACATAAGAAATTTTATCGAACGAAGGGCGATATAAATGGTTTACATTCATCAGTGACATCACGAGTTCGCGGCGGCTTCTCTTCTGTGATGACCCTTGGCGGCATCTTGATAGAAAACAATAACATGCCGACACCCTTTGAGTCAGCCGCGCGGCTTCTTTCGTGTACGCGTATCTATAAAAGGAATGTGCGCAATGTATGTTTCGAATTTATATATGGAATTATTTTAGCCGGGATATATTGGTTCTCACGGTGTTGGCGTGAGAATCCTCATTCACCTTGCAGATTTTTTAGAGGATGGTCATAGACATTATTCGGTGGCAAATTAATTTATTGGACTTTATTGAGGAAACATTGTAGTCGGCAACTATTATACTTCGATTCCACATCGGATTTACAGAAGGGAACATTTTAATACAACTTGGTTCTTCAGAGTAATTATATACGGCGACGGGATTTTGAATTGTGTACATTTGGAGTTCATAACTGGTTAACTTTATATTAGCTACATAACTTTGTTAATTGTATCATCGCGTCGGGAATTATAATGCCGAAGGCTAAGCAGCAATCCAGGTGGACAACTGTTGACCGAACTGGGTCCTCACGTCCACGGAGAACTGCAACTGCAACAGCTCCGCCTTCCCAGCCCGTATCAGAGCCTCTCGTCCAGGCACCGCAGCCGAACCCCGGAGTGGAGCAGCGGGGACCTGGTCCATCCGCAAGTGAGTACGATTCTAGGCCGTTGGTTTGCGCGGGTATTGATACATTAAACTCAATTGGAGGCCCTGAGCAGGCGCAGCAGGTGGGGCTTATGATCAATGCCCCTCCCTTGTTGGCAACTCCTCGGGAGGTGCTGGGGTCAGCTGTTCCTCGCGCATTGCGGGATAGAATCTGGAAAGGCGAGTTTGTTGATTTAGGGGCCTTGCTAAAAAATGTCCCCGTTCCAGACGGCAGCGCACCCACGGTTATTGCCCTGTCGGGGTCGACATTGCAGGTACAACCGCAGCGAGGGGTGCCGCGAATAACCTCAATAGAGCAATGGACCAGCGCATTTTTGGTATTTGCGTCTATATACACCGAGAAGCATATAGTTCGGGCCTTAGAGATGTTTAAGTATATGGACACCGTCCGGACGGCGGCTAGATTTGGCGGCTACGGCTGGCGCACATACGATGCGCAGTTTAGGCTGAGGCAAGCAAGAGAACCCACTAGATCATGGGCTGTCATTGATAGTGAATTGTGGCTTATGACTGCCACAGCACCATGCACGCATTCAACCCCCGCCTACTACGGTGATGCAATTCGTGAAAGCGACCCCTTCGGCCAGACAAATTAATAGTGTTTGTCCTTTTTGGATCTGCCAGTAGCACGATTTACTCACATTCTTTCAGAAAAGGCGCGGCCACATTAGCCGCTATGACCGGTTTGACGCAGGGGAAATTGAGAACACGGGGCGCTGGTCCTCGGACGCGCATAAGAGATATGTTCGTATTAGTATGCTACCTGTTGCATAATTCATGATGTATTGTACCATATTACTTCTTTAATCATTTGAGTTTAAGGAAGCGTGTTAAGAAAAATTATCAGTTATTTGGGTTGATCTATATGTTTAAATAGTATTTATAATTGACTCATGTTTATGCATGAGGCAGTTGAAGATCAATATTGTTACATTTCATTGGTGATTTTGAAACGAGTTATCAACAACAATGAGCTGCCGGAAGTTTTCCTTTTTTCTTTTTCATTCCTGCTGTAGGTTGCCAGTCTCGTACAATCCTGCTCATAGGCGATTCCATGATCCACTGGTTAGCCGCCTTCGCGCATCGTAAGGGAAAACAAGGTTTGGGGTCGGCAGCCAACGTCGTTTGGAGAGGAAGGAGGGGCCTTAATTAAGCTAGGCTGTTTAATGCAGTGGAACCGTGTGTCTTCTTTGTATGCAGAGGGGTGTTATACGTACAGCCCACTTTGTGGTACGCACAGTTAAATTCCATATGAGAAGGTAAACTCTGTTCGCCCTCTTTAATGAGGAAACAGTGTCGCCTTTTTACGGGCTGTGGGGGGTTGTACACAAGTTCTCGTCTGTTGACGGCCCTGATGCAGAGAGTACTATGGATTGGACATGCCGGCTCCATCCAGTTTTTCATGTGCAGATACTTGTATAAATTGATCAAAAGATTCGAAAATGATACCCGGGTCCTTCCCTGGGGCAGATTGGAGCAGTGTAACGTTTAAGTAAACGTATTTTATATTCAGTTGGGAAAGTTTGTGTCGTAGTTGTTATTATTGTCATGATGTTGATATTCAGGGTAACAAGATTCCATCCTCTATTAAATCTCAAGTACCCGCAAAAACGCGTCCCGTTTCATTTGTTACTGTGAATGTAAACGCATTAAACCTAGGATAACGGGTTATTGCTGGTAGACATTTTTTTACCGAAGTATATTGCACGACAGTTTATAATATCATCAATCATTAAACCAATTACTAAATAAATAAAAGCAAGAGGTGGAATCATTGTATCGTGCTCACATTCAATAATAATTCATTTAAAGGAGTTATGGGGTTTGTTGTCGTTTTACCTTAAAATTGCATTCAGGAGACACACAAGGTAGGCGGGAGCATTTTTTTAATAGCGCTCTATTTTTGCCAAAAACTTCGGAATAGGTTTGGACATTTCGCAATGTTCGAGAATGTAAACATGATCACAAGGGAATAAGCCAGTCTTGGTACATGTTTGATGATAGTCTGGTCAATCCTTTAACCAGACTCAATACTAGTTTTTCCCCGTCTTCCATCGAAGGTGGGCATGCCCAATTCTTGATTATTGTTTGTTATTTGGACTTTAATTCAGTTATTTATTTACAGTTTTATTTACGCAGGATTGCCTTTCACTCAGTTATCTTCTATCCCTTTTGGTACTTCAAAATAAAATAAAAAGATCTTTAAAACATTTACACGCTTCATGATTACAACACGAACACATAAATAACACAAAAAACAAAAATTATGATAAGGAAGATAAAGAAAATAAGAATAAATATTTTGAACACAATATGTCATGTGGAACTAAAGATATGGTATAATAAAAAATCCAACTTATAAATTAATGAATTGTCCATGTACTGTTTACTGCCGTTGAGAGGAAAATTAAGTCATGAATAGATGATGAAGACGGAGTGAAAGAGAAATAGAAAGAAAGAGAGGCGGGAGGGCAAAAGCTGATTACGTGGGTATTACAGGAGACATGAGTCCGCTAAAGTGGATGTCCTAGAAGAGTGTATAAGTATGATACAAAATATACGAAAAATGGGAGAGGGGTAGAATAATGGAGAGAAAGAGAAGGAGGATCGGCGTGAAAGAAAGAAAAAGAGAGAAAGAGTGACAGAGATAAAGAGGG